AGAGAGAGAGAGAGAGAGAGAGAGAGTTAATGGTTGAAGGAAGATAAGACACTCATAGATAAAAACTCAGATAAGAAAGCACAATAACTCATACATTCGACCTGGTAATTCATGAACAAAACCATATCKCTTATAAAATCAACTTGAAGCCCAGTATGCACTGCCCTGACGCGTTTCGCTGCCGGCGCACTCGGCAGACTGTTCAGGGGGCTTGACAAAGGGACGTATAATCATATCCTTCTCTCCCTTTTATACTCTCACAGCGACWYCGTATGTGTCSTTCCTACCCAACTCCTTCCCTCCTTTTGTCCGTAAGTCTATACTTTTCCYTACTTGCTCTCSATTTACCCCAATCCCTTACCTGCTTTCCTATTGGTYYGTCTTGGTAGTACTCTGTGCCGAAATCTTCCCGCTTGTCCTYCCTCCCTACCATCACTTTGATCTTCTCCCCTGACATAYTCCATATACTTCCGTATACCTGGTCCTCCTTTCCCTCCAATAGCATCTTCTTAATATGGCTACCCTCAGTGCGCCTACGTTGGCTGTGCTCTGCCATGACACAGAGACCCAGAGACCCTGAGATACAATAATAACAATAACAGAGAGAGAGAGAGAGAGTCCGAACCGAATCGTCACAAGTGTAATTTGTTTGATACGGTAACAACAATAACAAAGATATATATATATATATATATATATATATATATATATATATATATATAGAGAGAGAGAGAGAGAGAGAGAGATACCTTAACTTCACTTTTCCCTTTCATCCTTCACAAGGCGCGAGGCCACGATTTCGCACCTCATGTATAGAGTTCTCAAAGAAGTGTTGATTCAAAAAGCATGTCTGCAATTTTCGCAATCGTTGCGAGAACCCTCAGCATTAGCGTTGTTGAGGATATGTGATATGACCTCCATCAATATTGAGACGAGGTGGCATATACAATCCGTCACAAGCCTTCCCATTTGTCGCTTGTTTGCCGTTTCAACAAAAGATCGAAAATTATAAGTTGTCAGCGGAAGAGGAATGTTGTCACCCGTGTGGTCCTGCGTGACGTTGCTGGCGAGCACACATGGAAAATTGTGTAGAATATTCACACTTTTCATACATTGGACATCTCCGCACGAAATCAATATGTGACTTTCTGAGCATTGCAATTCTGCTTGTTTCCCACCGATGTTCTTCTCCTTCGTCTCGTATTCATCCACAGCTCGCATCACTCCACCGTTGTTGTTGTTTTCATTGGTACATCCCTTGTTAATTAAATGCACTTGTTGTCCCGACAACAACGATGCACGTGCGTACTTTAGACTGTGCGTCACATCCCTGCAACTGATCAGCAAAACCCATATATTGCGTGGAGTGAGACTGCTCTGCCATTCTCTGTCCATATCGCCCCGATATTTCAGACAAGTGTAGTAGTT